TGTCATACATTGACTGTTTACCATCCACTGTTTAGATCTTGGTGCTAACGTTAGCAGCAGCTCGGCTCGCAGGCCCTCCCATCAGTGGATCAGACTCTGATGTCAAATTAAAGCCAGTTTCCTTTCTGTAGACAGTGTTTCCATTGAAACCAGAGTCAGTATATTGAGTCTATAATCAATTCACAATCAATAACTCCATCGGGCAGGTGAGTCTACATCAGTGAACAGAACCGAGACCTCCACCTGGCTGCAGGAGGCGTGGCCTCTATGATGCCATCTGGTCTGGTGGGTGTAGCCTCTGCCTCTGGGACCAATGAGGTTTCACTGAAAGAAAAACAAGCAGGATCTTGTTATCTTTATAAAAAAAGTTTAAAGTGGTTTGATTGACAGGTGAAGTTAGTTACCTGTCAGTGTGAGGATTCTGTCTGTCCGACCACAGCTCACCTGAAAACACACACAGGTACGTCATCACTTCCTCTTCCTGTCTGTTCAATGGGACATCTTATATTATATATTATATATATTATTATTATAAACAGTATTATATATTATATTATTAGAACCGTTCTCCTGAGTCCTCAGTAGAACAGAGGACCAGGTGTATCAGGTGTACCAGGTGTACCAAGTGTACCAGGTGTATCAGGTGTACCAGGTGACTCACTGTGCTGCAGGTGGTCTGACTGGTACGAACTGGGAACAGAAGAAACAGGTTCTCAACCTCTGAGGTCAATGGATCTTCAGTAGATATATTGTTAATTTGTGTTACCTGTGCAGTCCAGGTGTAATGCTCAAGTACTCAGGTCCCTCAGTGGCTCCGCCCCCCGGTGACCCACAATGCTCTGCTGTATCCTGTCCACCTATGGCCTCTGATCCTGTTAGCACACTCACAGTTAGTTTCACACGCCACACAGTGAACACACCTCAGCTAATACCTGTAGCAGATGGCGGACCCTGCCACACAAGACAGACAGGATGTGTTGATGTGAGTGAGTCACCTTGCCCCTCCCCCCTCTGATCATCTGGCTGCTGGTTGGACGCTCTGCCTGGACTCTGTGCGATATCACTGTTCCTACAAAAAAGAATAGTCAATGTAGATTCATTTGTAGGACCAGGTTTCTGGCCTTTGTTCAGGTGTGTCACAGTGGGAGCTGATTGGTTGGTTACCTGGTTACAGGTGGACTGAGTGGGTGTGGCCTGAGTTGGTGGGGTCTGAGTGGGTGTGGTCTCTGAGAGTTAAAAAGGGAGAGCTGATTAATGAATTCGGTTGATTGGTCGGTCAGAGGTCTGATGTGGGGTTTTGGTCAGTCAGAGGTCTGATGTGGTGTTTTGGTCGGTCAGAGGTCTGATGTGGTGTTTTGGTCAGTCAGAGGTCTGATGTGGTGTTCTGGTTGGTCAGAGGTCTGATGTGGTGTTTTGGTTGGTCGGAGGTCTGATGTGGTGTGCTGGTCAGTCGGAGGTCTGATGTGGTGTTCTGGTCGGTCGGAGGTCTGATGTGGTGTTCTGGTCGGTCGGAGGTCAGATGTCACAGGTCACACCTGCAGACTATCAGTGAGGTTCTGCCGTAGAGCCGCAGTCAGACGCTCCACCAGACGATCCCGAACAGAACCAGAACTGTCCTGATGTGACACAGAATGAGCTGTGATTGGTTGGAACAACGTAAAGGTTTGTGTAAAATCTGATTGGCTGAAGTTGACCTCTAAAGTTATCATGACCTCTGACCTCTGACCCCTCCACAGTAAGGAACAGGTGTGTTGTTACCTGGCAGTGAGACAGAGCACTCAGAGCCTGTTTGTAGAGCTGAACAGATTTCTGCTGCTTCCTCTGCCTCAGGTAACAATCTGCCAACGACTCACACACATGAACCTCAGCCAGGTGGTCCCCTGCACACAGACAGGTACACACAGACAGGTAGCAGACAGACAGGTACACACAGACAGGTTCAATTCAATTAAATTGCATATATAAAGTAAATAGTAT